GAGGAAAACCCTAAGGTTGATGTCACAAGAACTAAGGTGAAAGGACTATCTGTGGTGAGAAGTTCCTGAAAGTCTCACTGCTAATTCCTCTAAAATGGATCAGTTCCTTCCTCTTCTTGACTTTTCCTTGAGCTCTGTAAAATAACCCAATGGAATTTTACAACATACTAGTTTTTTTGCCTAAATCTAGTCAAAGTTACTTTTTTTTTTTTTTTAGTGTGTAATCCAAAGTGCAAGTAACACAGGCAAACTGAACATGAATAGTAGATGCTGATCAAAGTCTTATAAACATTTAAATTGAGCTGAAGAGAAGGATAAAGTAGGTAAAGTCCTTACTTTAAGTGTGAGGACCAGAGTTTGGATCCCTGGTACCCACATAGAACAACCAGGAGCAGGGAGAGAGAGAGAGAGAGACAGAGAGAGACAGAGAGAGAGAGAGAGAGAGAGAGAGAGAGAGAGAGAGAGAGAGAGAGAGAGAGAGTTTCATCCCACTTCTTAGGAGGTGGACATGACGGAATCCCTGGGTCTAGGCTACGAATACTAGTTGAATTAGTTCCAAGTTCGGTGACAGATCTTGTGTCAGTAAAAGGAAAAATCAATCAAGGATGAAGGATGATACATGTCTGATCTGCATATTATGTGTACAAGCATCATGTGACCACACAAGTGTGATCACATATGCAAACATTCACACCACACAAAACACATATAGATAATAATTTAAATGTATGATTTCAAAATAAAGTGTGGTACATCATAATGGAACATTATTAGTCCATCCCTTCAATGCTTCTGTGCAGCAAGCTGATGTTTATAATGTAGGAAAACAATTCCTCAATAATTTATAACTAAAAAAGGAACCATGAAATAATCCCCATTAAGTTTTAAAAAATGAATTCCCTAATTTGTGTTTGTTCTCCATAGGTGGCACTCTCGTAATCTTGCTATTTAGGATCTGTACTGTACTTGCTCTCCTTTGTCACTTTCATGACATTGTGAGTCTAGAGAAAGAACCACAGGTGATCTCTTTCTGGAGCTCTGGGAGGTCAACAAAGCAGCAGCGTGGCGACATGACACATGACACTATCCCCATGAATCTGTGACCTCTCCAGCTTCTTACATTCAGAGTGACAATCATTTGAAACTCGTAATGGCTCTGAGATGACTGCTGCCATTGGTTATTTTTCATGCTGTGTGGAAATCCTCCTACTGGGAACATATCAAAGTGATACAAAACTTCCCTCAAAATTACATTCATAGCTTTGGACCTGAGAACATGAATGCTGTCCACAGGAAAAGCCTTTGTTCTCCTGAGAAGAATCTTATCCATTTTCTTGGGCTCAGACGGCCAGTTCATACTTCC